ATTATATTGTGGCCTTTCTCTTGCATTTCAAAGATGATGGAACAAAAATAGAAAACGAATGTTTTTTTGTTTGTATTATCTTCTACCAGATCTAATGTGTTATATTCTCCTACATTCATTTCACATTTCCACAAACTTCAGTGTTTCCATTCAAATGGTATCAAGAATATGCATATCCTTGCGTCCTGTCCTGAGCTACAGGCAGTTAGATTTGGGTATGTCATTTTAGGCGAAAATTGAAAAGAGGTTAATGATGAGGTTGGAGGGTGCTATGGTGTTGAAGGCTGAGCTGTAGTCGATGAACAGCATTCTGACGTAGGAATTCCTCTTGTCCAGATGGGATAGGGCAGTGTGCAGAGTGATGGCGATTGCATCGTCTGTGGATCTATTGGTGCAGTAAGCAAATTGAAGTGGGTCTAGGGTGACAGGTAAGGTAGAGGTGATATGATCCTTAACTAGCCTCTCAAAGCACTTCATGATGACAGAAGTGAGTGCTACGGGGTGCTAGTCTTTCTTGAATACAGGAACAATGGTGGACATCTTGAAGCAATTGGGGACAGCAGACTTGGATAGGGAGAGATTGAATATTTAGCCTCCGACTCATTGAAGTAGAAGTCTTCATCCAAATGGAGGTTAGTGATAGATGTTCTGATGTCCGGAAGCTCTTTTCGGAAACGATGGCGGAAACATTATGTACAAAACAAGTCAAGTTAAGATCAAATAAAAAAAATACACAACATAGCACAATTGTTCAGGAACCCAATGGTGGCGGAACCATTCTATCATAATGTCCTGGATTAACTGGGTCAGTGGTGTTCCAACCAGCTGTCATGGAGACCACTCTGGACACTGGACGGGCTCTGTTTGGGATATTAAATGAGGCATGTTGAGATGGTTAGGGCCAGGGTTAGGGCCAGGGTTAGGGCCAGGGTTAGGGCCAGGGTTAGGGCCAGGGTTAGGGCCAGGGTTAGGGCCAGGGTTAGGGCCAGGGTTAGGGCCAGGGTTAGGGTTAAGGAGTTACTGTGTTTACAGTGGTTACTATGGTTACTGTGGTTGTGGGTTGAGTTTATGGCTGGATTAACCATCTCAGGAAAACCAGTTCTGATTACAGCTGTGGCTAACATGTGTGTTTGTGTGTGTGTGTGTGAGTGCCTGTGTGTGTGTGTGTATGTGTGTGTGTGTGCGTGTGTGTGTGTGTGTGTGTGTGTGCGTGTGAATGCCTGTGGGTGTGTGTGTGTGTGTGTGTGTGTGCGTGTGTGCGTGTGAGTGCCTGTGTGTGTGTGTGTGTGTGTGTGTGTGTGTGTGTGTGTGTGTGTGTGTGTGTGTGTGTGTGTGTGTGTGTGTGTGTGTGTGTGTGTGTGTGTGTGTGTGTGTGTGTGTGGGTGTGTGGTGCGTGTGAATGCTGTGGGTGTGTGTGTGTGTGTGTGTGTGTGTGGTTTGTGGTGTGAGTGTGGTGTGTGTGTGTGTGTGTGGTGTGTGTGTGTGTGTGTGTGTGTGTGTGTGTGTGTGTGTGTGTGTGTGTGTGTGTGTGTGTGGTGTGTGTGTGTGTGTGTGTGGTGTGTGTGTGTGTGTGTGTGTGTGTGTGTGCGTGGTGAGTGCGTGCGTGAGTGGGGTCGCTGCGCTGCGTGCGCGTGCGCGCGCGTGTGTGTGTGTGTGTGTGTAGACTTCGGTCTCAGCAACACTCTGAAGGTAGAGAGAGAGTCAGCTGAGCTGCTGAACACCCAGTGTGGAAGCCCCGCCTACGCGCCCGAGCTGCTCGCCCACAGCTAGTATGGACAGGTCGACGTCTGGTCCGTGTGAGTAACGACTTGTATGTCACATGTTATATGTCACATGTTGTTCGTCACGTGTTGTATGTCACATGTTGTATGTCATGTGTTGTATGTCACGTGTTGTATGTCACATGTTGTATGTCACATGTTGTATGTCATGTGTTGTATGTCACATGTTGTATGTAACATGTTGTATGTCACATGTTATATGTCACATGTTGTATGTCACATGTTGTATGTAACATGTTGTATGTCACATGTTGTATGTCACGTGTTGTATGTCACATGTTGTATGTCACATGTTGTATGTAACATGTTGTATGTCACATGTTGTATGTCACATGTTATATGTCACATGTTGTATGTCACATGTTGTGTGTAACATGTTGTATGTCACATGTTGTATGTCACATGTTATATGGGCGGCAGGTAGCTTAGTGGTTAAGAGCGTTGTGCCAGTAACCGAAAGGTCGCTGGTTCTAATCCCCGAGCCGACTAGGTGAAAAATCTGTCGATGTGCCCTTGAGCAAGGCACTTAACCCTAATTGCTCCTGTAAGTCGCTCTGGATAAGAGCGTCTGCTAAATGACAAAAAAAATAAAAAAAATTTAAAAAAATATGTCACGTGTTGTATGTCATGTGTTGTATGTCACGTGTTGTATGTCATGTGTTGTATGTCACGTGGTGTATGTCACGTGGTGTATGTCACATGTTGTATGTCATGTGTTGTATGTCACGTCTTGTATGTCACATGTTGTATGTCACATGTTGTATGTCACATGTTGTATGTCACATGTTGTATGTCACATGTTGTATGTCACATGTTGTATGTTGTGTGTTGTATGTCACATGTTGTATGTCACGTGTTGTATGTCACGTGTTGTGTTGTATGTCATGTGTTGTATGTCACGTGGTGTATGTCACGTGGTGTATGTCACGTGTTGTATGTCACGTGGTGTATGTCATGTGTTGTATGTCACATGTTCTACAGAATGTTGATGAATGTTACTATGTAGTAATGCCAGTATGTCAGTATGCTGACTAGAATGTTCCACGTGTTATACTTTCTATATATTAGGTGTTTGCGTGTGTTTGCAATGCTGACTCGTATGTTATATGTTGTATGTTATTTAGGGGGGTCAGTACCAGAATGGTCTATGTTGTATGTGATTTAGGGGGGTCATTACTAGAATATTATATGGTGTATGTTATTTATGGGTCAGTACTAGAATGGTATACTTTTGAAATCGGAAGTTTACATTCACTTAGGTTGTTTTTCAGCCACTACACACATTTCTTGTTAAAATACTCTAGTTTTGGCAAGTCGGTTAGGACTTTGTGCATGACACAAGCAACCTTTCCAACAATTGTTTACAGACTGATTATTTCACTTATATTTCACTGTATCACAATTCCAGTGGGTCAGAAGTTTGCATACACTAAGTTGACTGTGCCTTTAATCAGCTTGGAAAATTCCAGAAAATGATGTCATGGCTTTAGAAACTTCTGATAGGCTAATTAACACCATTTGAGTTAATTGGAGGTGTACCTGTGGATGTATTTCAAGGCCTACCTTCAAACTCAAACGAAATCATGCAAGACCTCAGAAAAGAATTGTAGACCTCCACAAGTCTGGTTCATCCTTTGGAGCAATTTCCAAACACCTGAAGGTACCACGTTCATCTATTCAAACAATAGTATGCAAGTATAAACACCATGGGACCACGCAGCCGTCATACCGCTCAGGAAGGAGACGTGTTCTGTCTCCTAGAGATGAACATACTTTGGTGTGAAAAGTGCAAATCAATCCCAAAACAACAGCAAAGGACCTTGTGAAGATGCTGGACGAAACAGGTACAAAAGTATCTATATCCACAGTAAAACTAGTCCTATATCGACATAACCTGAAAGGCCTCTCAGCAAGGAAGAAGCCACTGCTCCAAAACCGCCATAAAAAAGCCAGACTACGGTTTGCAACTGCACATGGGGACAAAGATCGTACTTTTTGGAGAAATGTCCTCTGGTCTGATGAAACAAAAAATAGAACTGTTTGGCCATAATGACCATTGTTATGTTTGGAGGAAAAAGGGGGATGCTTGCAAGCCGAAGAACACCATCCCAACCGTGAAGCACGGGGGTGGCAGCATCATGCTGTGGGGGTGCTTTGCTGCAGGAGGGACTGGTGCACTTCACAAAATAGATGGCATCATGAGGAAGGAAAATTATGTGGATATATTGAAGCAACATCTCAAGACATCAGTCAGGTAGATAAAGCTTGGTCGCAAATGGGTCTTCCAAATAGACAATGACTCCAAGCATACTTCCAATGTTGTTGCAAAATGGCTTAAGGACAACAAAGTCATGGTATTGGAGTGGCCATCACAAAGCCCTGACCTCAATCCTATAGAAAATGTGTGGGCAGAACTGAAAAAGCGTGTGCGAGCAAGGAGGCCTACAAACCTGACTCAGTTACACCAGCTCTGTCAGGAGGAATGGACCAAAATACACCCACCTTATTATGGGAAGCTTGTGAAAGGCTACCCGAAATGTTTGACCCAAGTTAAACAATTTAAAGGCAATGCTACCAAATACTAATTGAGTGTATGTAAACTTCTGACCCACTGGGAATGTGATGAAATAAATAAAAGATGAAATAAATAATTCTCTCTACTATTATTCTGACATTTCACATTCTTAAAATAAAGTGGTGACCCTAACTGACCTAAGACAGGGAATTTTTACTAGTATTAAATGTCAGGAATTGTGAAAAACTGAGTTTAAATGTATTTGGCTAAGGTGTATGTAAACTTTCGACTTCAACGTTGTACGTTATTTAGGGGGGTCAGCACTAGAATGTTATATGTTATATGTTGTATGTTATTTAGTTGGATCAGTAGTAGAACGTTGTATATTATATTTTGTATGTTATTTAGGGGGGTCAGCACTAGAATGTTATATGTTGTATGTTATTTAGGGGGTCAGCACTAGAATGTTATATGTTGTATGTTATTTAGTTGGATCAGTAGTATTACGTTATATGTTGTATGTTATTTAGTGGGGTCAGCACTAGAATGTTATATGTTGTATGTTATTTAGTGGGGTCAGTAGTATAACGTTATATGTTGTATGTTATTTAGTGGGATCAGTAGTATAACGTTATATGTTGTATGTTCTTTAGGGGGGTCAGTAGTATAACGTTATATGTTGTATGTTCTTTAGGGGGGTCAGTATGTTTGCCATGCTGACTGGGACGTTACCTTTCACTGTGGAGCCGTTTAACATCAAGCAGCTGCATCAGAAGATGGTCAACGGAGAGATAGGAACCATACCCAACGATATCAGCAAAGGTACCACACACACACACACACACACACACACACACACATCTCTCACAAACACACACACACACACACACACATCAGGAGAGGGAGACAGACATCACCTCACACACAGCCATGTCAGCACAACAAACAGAGCTTGTGTTACCATGGTGAGAATGAGTACAGGTCCTGTTACCGTGGTGAGAATGAGTACAGGTCCTGTTACCGTGGTGATAATGAGTACAGGTTGTGTTACCGTGGTGATAATGAGTACAGGTTTTATTACTGGGGCTGACAATTAGTACAGGTCGTGTTACCATGGTGATAATGAGTACAGGTCTTATTACCGTGGTGATAATGAGTACAGGTCGTGTTATCATGGTGATAATGAGTACAGGTTGTGTTACTGTGGTGATAATGAACAGGTCTTATTACCATGGTGATAATGAGTACAGGTCGTGTTACCGTGGTGATAATGAGTACAGGTCGTGCTACCGTGGTGATAATGAGTACAGGTTGTGTTACTGTGGTGATAATGAGTAGGGTCTTATTACCATGGTGATAATGACTAAAGCTTGTGTTACCGTGGTGATGATGACTAAAGCTTGTGTTACCGTGGTGATAATGAGTACAGGTTGTGTTACCGTGGTGATAATAAGTACAGGTGTGCTGGTCTAAGAGATGAGATCAGATTAATACAGCTGGTAAAAGACAGCAGTCTGAACACATCACTATCTACACAAGGCTATCACACTCTCCAACTCACACTGGGCTGGAATACAAACCTGCACTGCCAGTAACTCTCCAAGACAAGAATTGGAGATCCTGAGAACACTGGAACTCAGTACCTGTAGACTACAGCTGGAACTCAGTACCTGTAGACTACAGCTGGAACTCAGTACATGTAGACTACAGCTGGAACTCAGTACCTGTAGACTACAGCTGGAACTCAGTACCTGTAGACTACAGCTGGAACTCAGTACCTGTAGACTACAGCTGGAACTCAGTACCTGTAGACTACAGCTGGAACTCAGTACCTGTAGACTACAGCTGGAACTCAGTACCTGTAGACTACAGCTGGAACTCAGCACCTGTAGACTACAGCTGGAACTCAGTACCTGTAGACTACAGCTGGAACTCAGTACCTGTAGACTACAGCTGGAACTCAGTACCTGTAGACTACAGCTGGAACTCAGTACCTGTAGACTACTGCTGGAACTCAGTACCTGTAGACCTCAGCTGGAACTCAGTACCTGTAGACTACAGCTGGAACTCAGTACCTGTAGACTACAGCTGGAACTCAGTACCTGTAGACTACAGCCGGAACTCAGTACCTGTAGACTACAGCTGGAACTCAGTACCTGTAGACTACAGCCGGAACTCAGTACCTGTAGACTACAGCCGGAACTCAGTACCTGTAGACTACAGCTGGAACTCAGTACCTGTAGACTACAGCTGGAACTCAGTACCTGTAGACCTCAGTTGGAACTCAGTACCTGTAGACCACAGCTGGAACTCAGTACCTGTAGACTACAGCTGGAACTCAGTACCTGTAGACTACAGCCGGAACTCAGTACCTGTAGACTACAGCCGGAACTCAGTACCTGTAGACTACAGCCGGAACTCAGTACCTGTAGACTTCAGCTGGAACTCAGTACCTGTAGACTACAGCCGGAACTCAGTACCTGTAGACTACAGCCGGAACTCAGTACCTGTAGACTACAGCTGGAACTCAGTACCTGTAGACTACAGCTGGAACTCAGTACCTGTAGACTACAGCTGGAACTCAGTACCTGTAGACTACAGCTGGAACTCAGCACCTGTAGACTACAGCTGGAACTCAGCACCTGTAGACTACAGCTGGAACTCAGTACCTGTAGACTACAGCTGGAACTCAGTACCTGTAGACTACAGCTGGAACTCAGTACCTGTAGACTACAGCTGGAACTCAGTACCTGTAGACTACAGCTGGAACTCAGCACCTGTAGACTACAGCTGGAACTCAGTACCTGTAGACTACAGCTGGAACTCAGTACCTGTAGACTACAGCCGGAACTCAGTACCTGTAGACTACAGCCGGAACTCAGTACCTGTAGACTACAGCCGGAACTCAGTACCTGTAGACTACAGCCGGAACTCAGTACCTGTAGACTTCAGCTGGAACTCAGTACCTGTAGACTACAGCTGGAACTCAGTACCTGTAGACTACAGCCGGAACTCAGTACCTGTAGACTACAGCTGGAACTCAGTACCAGTAGACTACAGCCGGAACTCAGTACCTGTAGACTACAGCTGGAACTCAGTACCTGTAGACTACAGCTGGAACTCAGTACCTGTAGACTACAGCTGGAACTCAGTACCTTTAGACTACAGCCCCAATTCAATGAATCGCTCGCTCTCTCTCTCTCTCTCTCTCTCTCCCTCTCTCCCTCTCTCTCTCTCTCTCTCTCTCTCTCTCTCTCTCTCTCTCTCTCTCTCTCTCTCTCTCTCTCTCTCTCTCTCTCTCTCTCTCTCTCCCCCTCTCTTCAGGTGCAGTAGGTTTTGTTCTGTCCCTGTTGGAGCCAGAGCCTTTTAAACGGCCAACAATCAGATCAGCTATGGAGGAAAAATGGATCAATGAGGGATACACCAAGAGACCTCTACACACACTCACACACAGGAACAGGTAACACACACCAAGAGACCTCTACACACAGGAACAGGTAACACACACCAAGAGACCTCTACACACAGGAACAGGTAACACACACCAAGAGACCTCTACACACAGGAACAGGTAACACACACCAAGAGACCTCTACACACAGGAACAGGTAACACACACCAAGAGACCTCTACACACAGGAACAGGTAACACACACCAAGAGACCTCTACACACAGGAACAGGTAACACACACCAAGAGACCTCTACACACAGGAACAGGTAACACACACCAAGAGACCTCTACACACAGGAACAGGTAACACACACTTGCACGTGTTGAGTCATTCCTAAATTGAGTCAGTTTTGGGGGCGATCTCAGAGCTAACAGAGCCAGGCCAAGAGTAGCCTCTAGTTTCCCCTCAAACACTATCCACACCGTTAAACACACTATCCACACCGTTAAACACACACACTTTGCTCACCACATCATGTCTTCTTTGTCATGTCATCTCTTTACCATCTGCCTCTAGGCACTCTTTCCAGATTTGATCAACTGTGCGTGCGTGCGTTTGTGTGTTTGTGTGATTGTTTTGTCTGTGTCTGTGTGTCTCCGTCTCTGTCTCCAGGCTGCGTCCTGAGGATCTGAACCAATCCGTGCTGTCCTACATGACAGAGTCTCTGGGTTACAGTCTGAGTGATGTCATCACCATGCTGACCAATAACAGGCCTTCTGCCGTCCTGGCCTCCTATCACCTGCTGCTCAGCAAACTGACCCGCGGACAGAGAGGGGCCAGGGGCATCAAGGTCTATAATACTCACACACCCCAGCTAGCACACAACGTTCTGAGGACCATTTGGTTTCTTAGAGCTTGGTGAGAGCGTGGTTGTCCTATGATTCTTTTGCATACATCCTTCCCACAACTTTATGGAAATGGTGCAGGATAGTTGCTTGGCTGTGGAACATTCTCATCACATTTAAGGAACTTGACAAAAAAAAGTTACTTTAACAGAAAGTTTCCTGAAAGTTAAAACATGGTTACATTTCATTTCAATTTGACATTGGGAACGTTTTCAAATAGTTCAGAGAACATTAAGAAACAATGTTTTTCTGTGGGAGTTTCAGTACTTCAGCATTATGATTCCTACAGGTTTCCTCATGGTTCTATTTAATGTCATGTTCTGAAATTGCTCTGAGAACGTTAAGAAAACGTTCCATAAAAACCACAATAAAACTTTTGTAACATTCAGAGAACGTTCTAAGAATGTTATTTAAAAACATATACATTCCGTTCTCGGCATCAACAAAAACTCTCTCTATCCTCTATATTGTTAAATGTGATCTTAATGAGTGCTTGTTTCCTTTGAAATGGCGTGTGTTTGAATAGACTCAAATTAACAGCTTTTTATTCGTAAAAAAACAAGGCATTCCATGGATAGAAAGCCAGTATGACGATAGAGCTTTCAGGCTAGAATGAAAAGCAGCCGGTGAAAGCCAGTATGACGGTTAGCTTTCAGGCTAGAATGAAAGGTGGCCGCTGCGTGGGAGATAAAATATCTGTAGAGTTCAAAATGTACTAGCGCTCAAAACCATGAAAAGGAATAACCCAAAGAGGCCATGGATAAAGAAGATTATAGGTTTGAATCTCACTGATGCAGAGCCACAATAAAAAAGGAATGTGTTTGCGTGATTAATGCCTAAGCAAATGAATTTCCATGTGTCCTACCTGTGCTTGGAGTTTTAAAAAAAGTGAACCCAAAATAAGCTTAAAAGTCTTATGGAAACATTCAGTGAAAGGAAGTTATATAAAAAAAAATCAAAATAACCTATAATTTCCTAAAAATAAACGTTCCCAGAATAGGTCAAATTTTCACTTCTGTTCTCAGAAAAAACGTTCAGCTTTACCGGTCAGGAAACGTATGGCTTCATTCCCACAACCAATGTGAAACTAAAAACATACGTTCTCACAACTTCCAAGGAACCAAATGTGCTAGCTGGGACAGACACAGCTCCAGTGTGTGTGTTGTTTATTGTGTTGTTTATTGTGTTGTTTAGTGTGTTGTTTATTGTGTTGTTTATTGTGTTGTTTAGTGTGTTGTTTATTGTGTTGTTTATTGTGTTGTTTATTGTGTTGTTTATTGTGTTGTTTATTGTGTTGTTTATTGTGTTGTTTATTGTGTTGTTTATTGTGTGTGTGACAGAAACTGGACACCAGTGAATGGAACCTGCCCAGTAATCCCACCTGGAGAGAGAAGAGCAGCACTGCAGCCAGGACACAGCAACATGTAAATATAATACTGTACTATACTATACTATACTATGATACTATATACAGTGGCTTGTGAAAATATTCGCCCCCCTTGGCATTTTTCCTATTTTGTTGCCTTACAATCTGGAATTAAAATTGATTTTTGGGGGGTTTGTATAATTTGATTTACACAACATGCCTACCACTTTGAAGATGCAAAATATGTTTTATTGTGAAACAAACAAGAAAGAAGACAAAAACACAGAAAACTTGAGCGAGCATAACTATTCAGTCAATACTTTATAGAGCCACCTTTTGCAGCAATTACAGCTGCAAGTCTCTTGGGGTATGTCTCTATAAGCTTGGCACATCAAGCCACTGGGACTTTTGCCCATTCTTCAAGGCAAAACTGCTTCAGCTCCTTCAAGTTGGATGGGTTCCGCTGGTGTACAGCAATCTTTAAGTCATACCACAGATTCTCAATTGGATTGAGGTCTGGGCTTTGACTAGGCCATTCCAAGACATTTAAATGTTTCCCCTTAAACCACTCAAGTGTTGCTTTAGCAGTATGCTTAGGGTCATTGTTCTGCTGGAAGGTGAACCTCCGTCCCAGTCTCAAATCTCTGGAAGACTGAAACAGGTTTCCCTCAAGAATTTCTCTGTATTTAGCGCCATTCATCATTCCTTCAATTCTGACCAGTTTCCCAGTCCCTGCCGATTAAAAACATCCCCACAGCATGATGCTGCCGCCACCATGCTTCACTGTGGGGATGGTGTTCTCAGGGTGATGAGAGGTGTTGGGTTTGCACCAGACATAGCGTTTTCCTTGATGGCCAAAAAGCTAGATTTTAGTCTCATCTGACCAGAGTACCTTATTCCATATGTTTGGGGAGTCTCCCACATGCCTTTTGGCAAACACCAAACGTGTTTGCTTCTTTTTTTCTTTAAGCAATGGCTTTTTTCTGGCCACTCTTCCATAAAGCTCAGCTCTGTGGAGTGTACGACTTAAAGTGGTCCTATGGACAGATACTCCAATATCCGCTATGGAGCTTTGCAGCTCCTTCAGGGTTATCTTTTGTCTCTTTGTTGCCTTTCTGATTAATGCCCTCCTTGCCTGGTCCGTGAGTTTTGGTGGGCTGCCCTCTCTTGGCAGGTTTGTTGTGGTGCCATATTCTTTCCATTTTTTTATAATGGATTTAATGGTGCTCCGTGGGATGTTCAAAGTTTCAGATATTTTTTTATAACCCAACCCTGATCTGTACTTCTCCACAACTTTGTCCCTGACCTGTTTGGAGAGCTCCTTGGTCTTCATGGTGCCGCTTGCTTGGTGGTGCCCCTTGCTTAGTGGTGTTGCAGACTCTGGGGCCTTTCAGAACAGGTGTATATATACTGAGATCATGTGACACTTAGATTGCACACAGGTGGACTTTATTTAACTAATTATGTGACTTCTGAAGGTAATTGGTTGCACCAGATCTTATTTAGGGGCTTCATAGCAAAGGGGGTGAATACATATGCACGCACCACTTTTCCATTATTAATTTTTTAGAATTGTTTGAAACAAGTAATTATTTTCATTTCACTTCACCAATTTGGACTATTTTGTGTATGTCCATTACATTACCAAATAAAAACCCATTAAAATGACAGGTTGTAATGCAACAAAATTGGAAAAACGCAAAGGGGGATGAATACTTTTGCAAGGCACTGTAGTGCTTTACATTACACTATATAGAAGAGCAACCCTGCAGCCACGGCACAGCAACAGGCAGGTTAATGTAACTACTAAGCCCACTTCCATCTTTGGATATAAAAATATTTAAAAAAGAAAAACCTTTTCTGCTGTTTAATGTTTCAACTAATTAATTTGGTTGTTATATCCATAACTTTTATTTTATTCTAAGCCAATCAGATGTTTTATTATTCAGTTATTGACAGTTATGTGTAAGTTATCCACTAGTGGCCAATTTCAAAGCTGCAAATAAACTTTTGTGTTGAGGCAACCCTCAGATAAACACAGATATTTTTTGTAATTTCTCAAATAAGTGATCATACTTTATGAAAATTAAGAGATGAATATACTGATATATGCACATGATAGAATATTTCATGAGCATTCATTACTACTTCTTGCCAATTGAAAATAAATCTGTTTTTTCCCATGCTAGCAGTCGTGCCTGCATGCTACAGTCACACAGAAGCAACAGATAAACGATTTCAGGCATTCACAGCTAACATTTGAAATGCATTTAGTGTCATTTTACTGTTAAATGAACTTTGCATTGATATATATAGATGCCATTTTTGTAAATGTGACATTTATCTCAGGTGGGCTTTAAGGGTACAAGGCACTCCCTCTATACAGAGCGTAAATGACAATGAAGAAATGTTGTTCAATATGATCAAGACTAATGTTGCATAATATTTTAGTCTATAGTAAATATTTATTCCCTAAACCATTGGTTTCCAAATATTTTATGAGTAGATTTTGCTATTCAGACTTTTTCACCATAAATCACTGTTATTCCAATTAAACCCAGTATGCTCCTATTAAACCCAGTATGCTCCTATTAAGCCCAGTATGCTCCTATTAAACCCAGTATGCTCCTATTAAGCCCAGTATGCTCCTATTAAACCCAGTATGCTCCTATTAAACCCAGTATGCTCCTATTAAACCCAGTATGCTCCTATTAAGCCCAGTATGCTCCTATTAAGCCCAGTATGCTCCTATTAAACCCAGTATGCTCCTATTAAACCCAGTATGCTCCGATTAAGCCCAGTATGCTCCTATTAAACCCAGTATGCTCCTATTAAGCCCAGTATGCTACTATTAAACCCAGTATGCTCCTATTAAGGCCAGTATGCTCCTATTAAGCCCAGTATGCTCCTATTAAGCCCAGTATGCTCCTATTAAGCCCAGTATGCTCCTATTAAACCCAGTATGCTCCTATTAAGCCCAGTATGCTCCTATTAAGCCCAGTATGCTCCTATTAAACCCAGTATGCTCATATTAAGCCCAGTATGCTCCTATTAAACCCAGTATGCTCATATTAAGCCCAGTATGCTCCTATTAAACCCCAGTATGCTCCTATTAAGCCCAGTATGCTCCTATTAAACCCAGTATGCTCCTATTAAGCCCCAGTATGCTCCTATTAAGCCCCAGTATGCTCCTATTAAGGGCAGTATGCTCCTATTAAGCCCAGTATGCTCCTATTAAGCCCCAGTATGCTCCTATTAAGGGCAGTATGCTCCTATTAAGCCCAGTATGCTCCTATTAAGGCCAGTATGCTCCTATTAAGCCCCAGTATGCTCCTATTAAGCCCAGTATGGTCCTATTAAGCCCAGTATGGTCCTATTAAGCCCCAGTATGGTCCTATTAAGGGCAGTATGCTCATATTAAGCCCAGTATGCTCATATTAAGGCCAGTATGCTCCTATTAAGCCCCAGTATGCTCCTATTAAGCCCAGTATGGTCCTATTAAGCCCAGTATGGTCCTATTAAGCCCAGTATGGTCCTATTAAGCCCAGTATGCTCCTATTAAGCCCAGTATGGTCCTATTAAGCCCAGTATGCTCCTATTAAGCCCAGTATGCTCCTATTAAGCCCAGTATGCTCCTATTAAGCCAGTATGCTCCTATTAAGTGCAGTATGCTCCTAGTAAGCCCAGTATGCTCCTATTAAACCCAGTATGCTCCTATTAAGCCCAGTATGCTCCTATTAAGGGCAGTATGCTCCTATTAAACCCAGTATGCTCCTATTAAACCCAGTATGCTCCTATTAAACCCAGTATGCTCCAATTAAACCCAGTATGCTCCTATTAAGCCCAGTATGCTCCTATTAAACCCAGTATGCTCCTATTAAGCCCAGTATGCTCCTATTAAGCCCAGTATGCTCCTATTAAGCCCCAGTATGCTCCTATTAAGCCCAGTATGCTCCTATTAAGCCCAGTATGGTCCTATTAAACCCAGTATGCTCCTATTAAGCCCAGTATGCTCCAATTAAGCCCAGTATGATCCTATTAAGGCCAGTATGCTCCAATTAAACCCAGTATGCTCCTATTAAGGCCAGTATGCTCCTATTAAACCCAGTATGCTCCAATTAAACCCAGTATGCTCCTATTAAGGCCAGTATGCTCCTATTAAACCCAGTATGCTCCTATTAAACCCAGTATGCTCCTATTAAGCCCAGTATGGTGTCTTTACCAAGATTAGAAACTATTAGAAACTATTAGAAAGCTCTGTTCTCTCTCCAAGACGTCTGGAGTGGACAGGAAGTGGTTGATGCAGAGAGAGTAGAACAAGACCTGGGTTGAGAGACAACAGGGACAGAAGACCTACAGTGGTGGACAAGACGCTAACAAATGAGGGACAAAAAGATGACTATTGGGCGACTACTCATGCACTTTGGGGTGGGGGCATTGTCATATTGTTGTCCTTCATTCATCCAGGTGATTCTGTTTTTTGGTCCACCACCTGTAACTTTTTAATACACAATAGAGAGGGAGATTTGAAACTGTCTTCAGATACACTTTAGGAAGACAAGTTTAATTACTTGACAAGAATAGCTGTACAGCAAATGTAAAAAAAAAACAGCTTTCAGATAATTCATTGAAAGTTGTGTGTGTTATGGTCTTTGTGCATGGCTTCTTCTCCACAGAGGGCCAGTCTGGGTGCAGGTTTGTGTTCTAACCAAGCAATAACACACCTGGTTCAACTAATCATGTCTTGATTGAAGTCTATGATTGGTTGATTAGTTGAATCAGGTGTGTACTGTTTGGCAAGAACAAAAGCCTAAATTCACCTTGATCTCTGTGGATACGATTGGACAACCCCCTGTTATAAGTGCTATTCACATTTTACATAAGAAATGTCAGTTTGTAAGTTGTGAACATTTTGAAAATAATTCAAATGATTCAAATTCAAATAATTCAAATGAGGTGTGCTTATTTGGAACACCCATGGGCTGAAAGGGTACACTCTGTACATTACCCTTAAGCCCAGTCCCGACATTTCACAGATTTGATCAAATACTTGTATGTCTTATTAAAATAAATTGTAAGTAAAGTCATGAAACATCAGGACAGATTCACCTTTCATTTGATCTCCACGTTTCTTACAAGAATTAGGGCAGTATGTTAGAAATGTCTAAACTTAGATTTTGGTGGGCTTAATATCTACACTATATACTACTATACACTATATACTACACATATGATATACTATATACTACTATACACTATATACTACACTATGATACTATATACTACTATACACTATATACTGCACTATGATATACTATATACTATTATACACTATATACTGCACTATGATATACTATATACTACTATACACTATATACTACACTATGATATACTATATACTACACTATGATATACTATGTACTACTATACACTATATACTACACATATGATATACTATATACTACTGTACACTATATACTACACTATGATATACTATATACTACTATACACTATATACTACACTATGATATACTATATACTACTATACACTATATACTACACATATGATATACTATATACTACTATACACTATCTACTACTATACACTATATACTACACATATGATACTATATACTACTATACACTATATACTACACATATGATACTATATACTACTATACACTATATACTACACATATGATATACTATATACTACTGTACACTATATACTACACTATGATATACTATATACTACTATACACTATATACTACACTATGATATACTATATACTACTATACACTATATACTACACATATGATATAATACTACTATATCACTAACTATACACTATATACTACACTATATACTATGATACTACTAACCTATATACTACACATATGAATACTACTATACTACTATACACTATATACTACACATATGATATACTATATACTACTATACACTATATACTACACATATGATATACTATATACTACTATACACTATATACTACACTATGATATACTATATACTACTATACACTATATACTACAATATAATACTATATACTACTATACACTATATACTACACATATGATATACTATATACTACTATACACTATATACTACACATATGATATACTTTATAGAAGAGCAACATCTCAGTCAGGACACACTACATCCTTTCTACTTCTATGTAATACTATACAACACTACACAGCAGGCACCAAGGCTCAGCCAATCACTGTGTTGTAGACTGAGCCAGCCAATGAGAAGGTCTCTAAGCAGTCCAGCCGGCCCCCGAGGAGCCAACCACAGCCCCCAGAGGAGGAATGTCTCTGCAACAAGAGGAGACAGGAAGGCCCTCCCACAGAGTCCCGCCCCTCCTCCACCTCTCTCCCCCCTTGTCTCCCTTCCCCCTGCCCCACGCCTCTCATTGATGAAGAGATCACCATCACTCTGTTCCCTGAAGGTAGGAGACACACACACACACACACACACACACACACACACACACACACACACACACACACACACACACACACACACAGACACACACAGAAACACACCAACCCCCACACACACACACACAGACACAGAAACACACCAACCCACACACACACACACACACACAGACACAGAAACACACCAACCCACACACACACACACACAGAAACACACCAACCCACACACACACACACACACACACACAGACACAGAAACACACCAACCCACACAAACAAAAACACCTTTGTTACACTTCTGTATTCTAGGCTACTGTCCTTACTCCCAAAGTGTGCACTTGTTCACTTCGCTTTACTGATTTGAAAGGAAATGTTTTGTGTTAGGTTGTGTTGTTACTCATTCACCTGTCTGTAATGTGTTCTAGTCTCTGTGCTCTGTGTTATAGTCTCTGTGCTCTGTGTTCTATTCTCTGTGTTCTGTGTTCCAGACTCTGAGATCTGTGTTCTAGTCTCTGTGTTATAAACTATGTGCTCTGTGTTCTAGTCTCTGTGTTCTGTGTTCTAGTCTCTGTGTTCTGTGTTCCAGACACTGTCTTCTGTGTTCCAGACTCTGAGTTCTGTGTTCTAGTTTCTGTGTTCTAGTCTCTGTGTTCTGTGTTCTAGTCTCTTTGATATGTGTTCCAGACTCTGTGCTCTGTCTTCTAGTCTCTGTGTTCTGTGTTCCAGACACTGTCTTCTGTGTTCCAGACTCTGAGTTCTGTGTTCTAGTTTCTGTGTTCTAGTCTCTGTGTTCTGTGTTCTAGTCTCTTTGATATGTGTTCCAGACTCTGTGCTCTGTCTTCTAGTCTCTGTGTTCTGTGTTCTGTGTTCTAGTCTCTGTGTTCTGTGTTCTAGTCTTTGTGTACTGTGTTCTAGTCTGTTTTTTGTGTTCTGTGTTCTAGTCTCTGTGGGATCTGATCTAGTCTGTGTTCTGTTTTTAAGTCTGTGTTCTAGTCTATATGTTCTGTATTCTAGCCTCTGTGTTCTGAGTTCAGTCTCTGTGTTCTGTGTTCCAGTCTCTGAGTTCTGTGTTCCACTCTCTGTGTTCTAGACTCTGGGTTTAAATCTCTATGTTCTGTATTCTAGTCTTTGTGTTTTGTGTTCCAGTCTATGTGTTCTGTGTTCTAGTCTCTGTGTTCTAGTCTCTGTGTTCTGTGTTCCATTATCTGTGTTCTGTGTTTTAGTCTCTGTGTTCTGTGTTCCAGACTCTGTCTTCTGTGTTCCAGACTCTGAGTTCTGTGTTCTAGTCTCTTTGTTCTGTGTTCCAGACTCTGAGTTCTGTGTTCTAGTCTCTGTGTTATAAACTCTGTGCTCTGTGTTCTAGTCTCTGTGTTCTGTGTTCTAGTCTCTGTGTTCTGTGTTCCAGACTCTGTCTTCTGTGTTCCAGACTCTGAGTTCTGTGTTCTAGTTTATGTGTTCTAGTCTCTGTGTTCTGTGTTCTAGTCTCTTTGTTCTGTGTTCCAGACTCTGGGTTCTGTGTTCTAGTCTCTGTGTTATAAACTCTGTGCTCTGTGTTCCAGTCTCTGTGTTCTGTGTTCTAGTCTTTGTGTTCTAGTCTCTGTGTTCTGTGTTCCAGACTCTGTCTTCTGTGTTCCAGACTCTGAGTTCTCTGTTCTAGTCTCTGTGTTATAAACTATGTGCTCTGTGTTCTAGTCTCTGTGTTCTGTGTTCTATTCTCTTTGTTCTGTGTTCCAGACTCTGAGTTCTGTGTTCTAGTCTCTGTGTTATAAACTCTGTGCTCTGTGTTCTAGTCTCTGTGTTCTGTGTTCTAATCTCTGTGTTCTGTGTTCTAGTTTTTGTGTTCTAGTCCTGTGTTCTGTGGTTTAGTCTCTTTGTTCTGGTCTTTGTGTTCACTGTTCTAGTCTCTGTGTACTGTGTTCTAGTCTGTTTGTTGTGTTCTGTGTTCTAGTCTCTGTGGGATCTGATCTAGTCTGTGTTATGTGTTCAAGTCTGTGTTCTAGTCTATGTGTTCTGTATTTTAGCCTCTGTGTTCTGTGTTCAGTCTCTGTGTTCTGTGTTCCAGTCTCTGAGTTCTGTGTTCCACTCTCTGTGTTCTAGATTCTGGGTTTTAATCTCTATGTTCTGTGTTCTAATCTCGGTATACTGAAATCGAGTCTTTGTGTTCTAGTCTCTGTATTCTATGTTCTAGACTCTGTGGGCTGTGTTCTACTCTCTATGTTTTGTGTTCCAGTCTCTGTGTTCTGTTTTCTATTCTTTGTGTTTTGTGTTCCAGTCTATGTGTTCTGTGTTATAGTCTCTGTGTTCTGTGTTTCAGTCTCTGTGTTTTAGTCCTTGTGTTCTGTGATACAGTATCTGTGTTCTGTGTTCTAGTTCTCAGTTTTCTGTGCTCTAATCTCTGTGTTCTTTGTTCTGGTCTCTGCGTTCTGTGCTCCAATCTCTGTGTTCTAGTCCCTTTGTTCTGTGTTCTAGTCTCTGTGTTCTGTGTTCTGTGTTCCAGTCTCTGTGTTTCAATCTCTACATTCTGTGTTCTAGTCTCTGTGTTCTGTGTTCCAGTCTCTGTGTTCTGTGTTCTAGTTTTTGTGTTCTAGTCTCTGTGTTCTGTGGTTTAGTCTCTTTGTTCTAGTCTTTGTGTTCAGTGTTCTAGTCTTTGTTTTCTGTGTTCTAGTCTCTGTGTTCTGTGGTTTAGTCTCTTTGTTCTAGTCTTTGTGTTCACTGTTCTAGTCTTTGTGTTCTGTGTTCTAGTCTCTGTGTACTGTGTTCTAGTCTGTTTGTTGTGTTCTGTGTTCTAGTCTCTGTGGGATCTGATCTAGTCTGTGTTATGTGTTCAAGTCTGTGTTCTAGTCTATGTGTTCTGTATTTTAGCCTCTGTGTTCTGTGTTCAGTCTCTGTGTTCTGTGTTCCAGTCTCTGAGTTCTGTGTTCCACTCTCTGTGTTCTAGATTCTGGGTTTTAATCTCTTTGTTCTGTGTTCTAATCTCGGTATACTGAAATCGAGTCTTTGTGTTCTAGTCTCTGTATTCTATGTTCTAGACTCTGTGGGCTGTGTCCTAGTCTCTATGTTTTGTGTTCCAGTCTCTGTGTTCTGTTTTCTATTCTTTGTGTTTTGTGTTCCAGTCAATGTGTTCTGTGTTCTAGTCTCTGTGTTCTGTGTTCCAGTCTCTGTGTTATAGTCTCTGTGTTCTGTGTTTCAGTCTCTGTGATTTAGTCCTTGTGTTCTGTGGTCCAGTATCTGAGTTCTGTGTTCTAGTTCTCGGTTTTCTGTGCTCTAATCTCTGTGTTCTTTGTTCTGGTCCCTGTGTTCTGTGCTCCAATCTCTGTGTTCTAGTCTCTGAGTTCTGTGTTCTGTGTTCCAGTCTCTGTGTTTCAATCTCTACATTCTGTGTTCTTGTCTCTGTGTTCTAGTTTATGTGTTCTAGTCTCTGTGTTCTGTGTTCTAGTCTCTTTGTTCTGTGTTCCAGACTCTGGGTTCTGTGTTCTAGTCTCTGTGTTATAAACTCTGTGCTCTGTGTTCCAGTCTCTGTGTTCTGTGTTCTAGTCTTTGTGTTCTAGTCTCTGTGTTCTGTGTTCCAGACTCTGTCTTCTGTGTTCCAGACTCTGAGTTCTCTGTTCTAGTCTCTGTGTTATAAACTATGTGCTCTGTGTTCTAGTCTCTGTGTTCTGTGTTCTATTCTCTTTGTTCTGTGTTCCAGACTCTGAGTTCTGTGTTCTAGTCTCTGTGTTATAAACTCTGTGCTCTGTGTTCTAGTCTCTGTGTTCTGTGTTCTAATCTCTGTGTTCTGTGTTCTAGTTTTTGTGTTCTAGTCCTGTGTTCTGTGGTTTAGTCTCTTTGTTCTGGTCTTTGTGTTCACTGTTCTAGTCTCTGTGTACTGTGTTCTAGTCTGTTTGTTGTGTTCTGTGTTCTAGTCTCTGTGGGATCTGATCTAGTCTGTGTTATGTGTTCAAGTCTGTGTTCTAGTCTATGTGTTCTGTATTTTAGCCTCTGTGTTCTGTGTTCAGTCTCTGTGTTCTGTGTTCCAGTCTCTGAGTTCTGTGTTCCACTCTCTGTGTTCTAGATTCTGGGTTTTAATCTCTATGTTCTGTGTTCTAATCTCGGTATACTGAAATCGAGTCTTTGTGTTCTAGTCTCTGTATTCTATGTTCTAGACTCTGTGGGCTGTGTTCTACTCTCTATGTTTTGTGTTCCAGTCTCTGTGTTCTGTTTTCTATTCTTTGTGTTTTGTGTTCCAGTCTATGTGTTCTGTGTTATAGTCTCTGTGTTCTGTGTTTCAGTCTCTGTGTTTTAGTCCTTGTGTTCTGTGATACAGTATCTGTGTTCTGTGTTCTAGTTCTCAGTTTTCTGTGCTCTAATCTCTGTGTTCTTTGTTCTGGTCTCTGCGTTCTGTGCTCCAATCTCTGTGTTCTAGTCCCTTTGTTCTGTGTTCTAGTCTCTGTGTTCTGTGTTCTGTGTTCCAGTCTCTGTGTTTCAATCTCTACATTCTGTGTTCTAGTCTCTGTGTTCTGTGTTCCAGTCTCTGTGTTCTGTGTTCTAGTTTTTGTGTTCTAGTCTCTGTGTTCTGTGGTTTAGTCTCTTTGTTCTAGTCTTTGTGTTCAGTGTTCTAGTCTTTGTTTTCTGTGTTCTAGTCTCTGTGTTCTGTGGTTTAGTCTCTTTGTTCTAGTCTTTGTGTTCACTGTTCTAGTCTTTGTGTTCTGTGTTCTAGTCTCTGTGTACTGTGTTCTAGTCTGTTTGTTGTGTTCTGTGTTCTAGTCTCTGTGGGATCTGATCTAGTCTGTGTTATGTGTTCAAGTCTGTGTTCTAGTCTATGTGTTCTGTATTTTAGCCTCTGTGTTCTGTGTTCAGTCTCTGTGTTCTGTGTTCCAGTCTCTGAGTTCTGTGTTCCACTCTCTGTGTTCTAGATTCTGGGTTTTAATCTCTTTGTTCTGTGTTCTAATCTCGGTATACTGAAATCGAGTCTTTGTGTTCTAGTCTCTGTATTCTATGTTCTAGACTCTGTGGGCTGTGTCCTAGTCTCTATGTTTTGTGTTCCAGTCTCTGTGTTCTGTTTTCTATTCTTTGTGTTTTGTGTTCCAGTCAATGTGTTCTGTGTTCTAGTCTCTGTGTTCTGTGTTCCAGTCTCTGTGTTATAGTCTCTGTGTTCTGTGTTTCAGTCTCTGTGATTTAGTCCTTGTGTTCTGTGGTCCAGTATCTGAGTTCTGTGTTCTAGTTCTCGGTTTTCTGTGCTCTAATCTCTGTGTTCTTTGTTCTGGTCCCTGTGTTCTGTGCTCCAATCTCTGTGTTCTAGTCTCTGAGTTCTGTGTTCTGTGTTCCAGTCTCTGTGTTTCAATCTCTACATTCTGTGTTCTTGTCTCTGTGTTCTAGTCTCTGTGTTCTGTGTTCCAGTCTCTGTGTTCTGTGATCTAATCTCTGTGTTCTGTGTTCCAGTCTCTGTGTTCTATTATCTGTGTTTCAATCTCTGTGTTCTGTGTTCCAGTCTCTGTGTTTTAGTATCTGTGTTTCAATCTCTGTGTTCTGTGTTCCAGTCCTTGTGTTCTAGTATCTGTGTTTCAGTCTCTGTGTTCTGTGTTCCAGTCTCTGTGTTCTGTGTTCTAGTCTTTATGTTCTGTTTTCTGGTCTCTGGGTTCTGTGTTCTAGTCTCTGTATTTTGTGTTCTGTGTTGTAGTCTCTGTGTTCTGTGTTCTAGCCTATGTGTTTTAGTCTCTGTGTTCTGTGTTCCATTCTCTGTGTTCTGTGTTCTAGTCTTTGTGTTTTGTGTTCTAGTCTTGGTGTTCTGTGTTCTCTTCTCTGTGTTCTGTGTTTTAGTCTCTGTGATTTGTGTTCTAGTCTCTGTGTTCTAGTCTCTGTGTTCTGTGGTCTAGTCTCTGTGTTCAGTGTTCTAGTCTCTGTCTTTTTGTCTCTGTATTTTGTGTTCTGTGTTCTACTCTTTGTGTTCTGTGATTTATTCTTGTGTTCTAGTCTGTGTTTTAATCTCTATGTTTTGTTTTCTAGTCTCTGTATTCTGTGTTCTAGTCTCTGCGTTCTGTGTTCTAGTCTTCGTGTTCTGTGTTCTATTCTCTGTGTTCTGTGTTCTAGTTTCTGTGTTCTGTGTTCAAGTCTCTGTGTTCCGTGTTCTAGTGTCTGTGTTTTGTGTTCCAGTCTTTGTGTTCTGTGTTCTAGTCACTGTGTTATATTCTATGTGTTTTGTGTTCTGGTCTCTGTGTTCTGTGTTGTTGTCTCTGTGTTCTGTGTTCTAGTCTGTATTCTGTGTTATAGTCTCTGTGTTCTATTCTATGTGTTCTGTGTTCTAGTCTCTGTGTTCTGTGTTCTAGTCTCTGTTCTAGTCTCTTTGTTCTGTGTTCTAGTCTCTGTTCTAGTCTCTTTGTTCTGTGTTCTAGTCTATGGGTTCTAGTCTCTATGTTCTGTGTTCTAGTCTCTGTTCTAGTCTCTTTGTTCTGTGTTCCAGTCTCTGTGTTTGGGGACAGAGAGCTGGTCCATCTCGCACCTCCTAAAAGCTCTGCCTCCAAGCTGTGTGACGCTGCCCCCTTGCCACGCCTCTTGGATCCAACCAGAGAAGGCCAGGTCAGACTGGTCAAACTCTTCAGAACGTTGTTTGCTCTGTACCATTTCAATTCCAGTTAATTCAGAAAGGAAATCAAATTCCAATTCCACATTTTCCTCTTTGAAAAGCATTGAAGGGAACTGGAATTGGAGTTTCAGTGTACTTCCGGAATTGACCCCAACCATGCTCATTATCCCTAAAATCTTTATTAACAGATGAGTTGATGTAACAGCTAAAGCCTAATTTATACCCTACGTATGTAGGCAATGCAAGAACAGAGTTAGCAATGCAAAATGGCCATCCTGTGTACGATCCTGCGATACTGCATCGAGTTACAAATTGTTGGACTGCACACGTTTGTGTATTTTTGCTACGCAACTGCACAGGATGGCCATTTTCATAGATAAATGTAGTTGTTGCATCCATCTGTATCTATGTCGATATATATATATATATGCAACTATATCGATGTTGCAGTTTTCTCCAAAATGATTCATTAATGTTCAGTCTGAGGTCACCACTGTATTCTTTAGTGTCCAGCTCCTGCCTCATGTTGCCACTCTCTGTTCAGGTCCGTCCAGTCCATCCACCACACGCGCTCAGAACCACACACTCCGATGGGGCGGAACTCGACAACAGCCACCTCCACGACGACGATGACGGTTGTCACGATGACCACGTTCACCATCTTCGCCATGGCAATAATGACCGGCTAAAGAAGCTGCAGACGTTCTACTCCTCGGAGACGAAGGGCGGAGTCTCTATATCTCCCAGAATGATCCTGGAGACCACGGAGCCACGCCCCTCGGACAGAGAACACCTGGCAGGCGCCATGGAAATGGCCCAAACTGCCCCGCCCCCTCTCCCCCAGCTACGGAATGCTGGGCTGAAGGAGGGAGGAGGGGGAGGAGGGGGGAGGAAGGTCACATGGGTGGGCCACATGGTGCGGCCGCAGGGCCCCACGGGGCTCCTGGTCAACGGGTCCAAACCCCCGGCCTTCCCCTCCCAGAGACAGCATGCTCTGGTCATCAAGAGCCTTCGCCAGGAGAGGGGGAGGAGAGGAGGAGGAGGAGGAGGAGATAGAGAAGGAGGAGGGGGAAGAGGAGGAGGGATGAGTGGAGGAGTGAAGCGTAACTCTGTTCAGCTGCGTCAGTCCTTACAGCGTCGAGTAGCTGACCTGAACCTCCCTCTGCTCCCAGCAGCCCAGCAGAGACCCTACTGACCTAAGACCCTAACCCTGCTGACCTACTGACCTACTGACCTACAGAGACCCTACTGACCTACATAGATCCTACTGACCTACAGAGACCCTGCTGACCTACTGACCTACTGACCTACTGACCTACAGACCTACAGAGACCTTACTGACCTACTGAGACCCTGCTGACCTACAGAGACCCTACTGACCTACAGAGACCCTGCTGACCTACTGACCTACTGACCTACAGAGACCTTACTGACCTACTAACCTACAGAGACCCTGCTGACCTGCTGACCTACAGAGACCCTGCTGACCTACTGACCTACTGACCTACAGAGACCTTACTGACCTACTGACCTGCTGACCTACAGAGACCCTGCTAACCTACTGACCTACTGACCTACAGAGACCCTGCTGACCTGCTGACCTACAGAGACCCTGCTAACCTACTGACCTACTGACCTACAGAGACCCTGCTGACCTGCTGACCTACAGAGACCCTGCTGACCTACAGAGACCCTGCTGACCTACTGACCTACAGACCTACAGAGACCCTGCTGACCTACAGAGACCCTGCTGACCTACTGACCTACAGAGACCCTGCTGACCTACAGAGACCCTACTGACTCTGGTGACTAGGGGGTTAATCACTCTACAAAGTCCAAAACGTGTCCATGTCCGCACAGCCGCGTTGTAGAATATTGGACCGTTGGCTTTCATACTTTTCGAATTCTAAGCACGTGTCAAGGAATTCCACTATCCGTCAACACGTTCACATTAATAGAAGCACGTGGAGCCACATTGATATGGTACAACGGGCCGCAGGACTATCGCGGATCTGTGACTGTGAACTCTGAATTGCGCTTCAGGAAGAGGGGGAGTGAGGAGGTGAACACAGAGACCCTGGTGAACCTGGTGACTAGGCTAGGAAGAGAACCAGATGTCAACCAGCTACTGGTTTATAGTGCCAAAGGATTACAGTTCACCATGAACAAGGCGCTCTTATGTGATGTCATCGGGTGGAACCAGGTAGAACGTTCCATAGCATTATCACGGTGCTGTATGGGTTAACTCTCATAATAAGTCTCTAGAGTACCATCACAGTACTGAATGGGTTAACTCTCACTCTCATTATCAGTCTCTTTATTAACATTTGTTTTTACTCTATTCACTGAACTGTATTCACATTTTTTACTCCCATAAAAACAGACAATGTGTATTTCTCTTATTCTGGATGATTATATTATGATACGACTATTACATATCTCTCTCCCTCCATCTCTGTGACATTAATAATGTGTGTAGACTACTGCCAGTGGTAACAGTGGGTATGGAGCAGGTATTGAGGTAGACTACAGCCAGAGGTAACAGTGGGTATGGAGCAGGTTTAGAGGTAGACTACAGCCAGTGGTAACAGTGGGAATGGAGCAGGTATAGAGGTAGACTACAGCCAGAGGTAACAGTGGGTATGGAGCAGGTATAGAGGTAGACTACAGCCAGAGGTAACAGTGGGAATGGAGCAGGTATAGAGGTAGACTACAGCCAGTGGTAACAGTGGGTATGGAGCAGGTATAGAGGTAGACTACAGCCAGAGGGTATGGAGCAGGTATGGAGGTAGACTACAGCCAGTGGTAACAGTGGGTATAGAGCAGGTATAGAGGTAGACTACAGCCAGTGGTAACAGTGGGAATGGAGCAGGTATAGAGGTAGACTACTGCCAGAGGTAACAGTGGGTATGGAGCAGGTATAGAGGTAGACTACAGCCAGAGGTAACAGTAGGTATGGAGCAGGTATAGAGGTAGACTACAGCCAGAGGTAACAGTGGGTATGGAGCAGGTATAGAGGTAGACTACAGCCAGAGGTAACAGTGGGTATGCAGCAGGTATAGAGGTAGACTACAGCCAGTGGTAACAGTGGGTATGGAGCAGGTATAGAGGTAGACTACAGCCAGTGGTAACAGTGGGTATGGAGCAGGTATAGAGGTAGACTACAGCCAGAGGGTATGGAGCAGGTATGGAGGTAGACTACAGCCAGTGGTAACAGTGGGTATAGAGCAGGTATAGAGGTAGACTACAGCCAGTGGTAACAGTGGGAATGGAGCAGGTATAGAGGTAGACTACTGCCAGAGGTAACAGTGGGTATGGAGCAGGTATAGAGGTAGACTACAGCCAGAGGTAACAGTAGGTATGGAGCAGGTATAGAGGTAGACTACAGCCAGAGGTAACAGTGGGTATGGAGCAGGTATAGAGGTAGACTACAGCCAGAGGTAACAGTGGGTATGCAGCAGGTATAGAGGTAGACTACAGCCAGTGGTAACAGTGGGTATGGAGCAGGTATAGAGGTAGACTACTGCCAGAGGTAACAGTGGGTATGGAGCAGGTATAGAGGTAGACTACAGCCAGAGGTAACAGTGGGTATGGAGCAGGTATAGAGGTAGACTACAGCCAGAGGTAACAGTGGGTATGGAGCAGGTATAGAGGTAGACTACAGCCAGTGGTAACAGTTGGTATGGAGCAGGTATAGAGGTAGACTACAGCCAGTGGTAACAGTGGGAATGGAGCAGGCATAGAGGTAGACTAGAGAGAATAAGAGCACTTCCTCCCAGCTACCCACTGCACTGAGGCTAGGAAACACCATCACCACCGATAAATCTACAATAATCGAGAATTTCAAAAAGCATTTTGCTACGGCTGGCCATGCTTTCCACCTGGCTACCCCTACCAGCTCTGCACCCTCCGCTGCAACTTGCCCATGCCCCCCCTGCTTCTCCTTCACCCAAATTCAGATAGCTGATGTCCTGAAAGAGCTGCTAAATCTGGACTCCTACAAATCAGCTGGGCTAGACAATCTGGACCCTTTCTTTCTAAAACTAGCCGCCGAAATTGTCGCAACCCCTATTACTAGCCTGTTCAACCTCTGTTTCGTATTGTCTGAGATCCCCAGAGATTGGAAAGCTGCCGTGGTCATCCCTCTCTTCAAAGGGGGTGACACTCTAGATCCAAACTGTTACAGACCTATATCCATCCTGCCCTGCCTTTCAAAAGTATTTGAAAGCCAAGTTAACAAACAGATCACCGACCATTTCGATTCGCACTGTACCTTCTCCGCTATGCAATCTGGTTTCCGAGCTGGTCATGGGTGCACCTCAGCCACGCTCAAGGTCCTAAACGATATTATAACCGCGATCGATAATAGACAGTATTGTGCAGCCGTCTTCATCGACTCTGTCAATCACTGCATTCTTATTGGCAGACTAAATAGCCTTGGTTTCTTAAATGACTGCCTCGCCTGGTTCACCAACTACTTCTCAGATAGAATTAAATGTGTCAAATCGGAGGGCCTGTTGTCTGGACCTCTGGCAGTCTCTGTGGGGGTGCCACAGAGTTCAATTCTTGGGCCGACTCTATTCTCTGTGTATATCAATGATGTCGCTCTTGCTGCTGGTGACTCTCAGATCCACCTCTACATTTTAGTCATTTAGCAGACGCTCTTATCCAGAGCGACTTACAGTTAGTGCATACATTATTCTTTTTTTTTCTTTTTTTTTTCATACTGGCCCCCCGTGGGATGCGAACCCACAACCCTGGCGTTGCAAACGCCATGCTCTACCAACTGAGCTACCTCCCTGCCGGCCATTCCCTCCCCTACCCTGGACGACGCTGGGCCAATTGTGCACCGCCCCATTGGTCTCCCGGTTGCGGCCGGCTACAGCAGAGCCTGGATTCGAACCAGGATCTCTAGTGGCACAGCCTTAGACCACTGCGCCACTCGGGAGGTACACAGACGACACCATTTTGTATACATCTGGCCCTTCATTGGACACTGTGTTAACAAACCTCCAAACGAGCTTCAACGCCATACAACACTCCTTCCGTGGCCTCCAACTGCTCTTAAACGCTAGTAAAACTAAATGCATGCTCTTCAATCGAACGCTGCTGGCACCCGCCCGCCCGACTAGAATCACTACTCTCGGCGGGTCTGACTTGGAATATGTGGACAACTACAAATACCTAGGTGTCTGGTTAGACTGTAAACTCTCCTTCCAGACTCACATTAAGCATCTCCAATCCAAAGTTAAATCTAGAATCGGCTTCCTATTTCGCAACAAAGCCTCCTTCACTCATGCTGCCAAACATGCCCTCGTAAAACTGACTATCCTACCGATCCTTGACTTCAGTGATGTCATTTACAAAATAGCTTCCAACACTCTACTCAGCAAATTGGATGTAGTCTATCACAGTGCCATCCGTTTTGTCACCAAAGCCCCATATACTACCCACTATTGTGACCTGTACGCTCTCGTTGGCTGGCCCTCACTACATATTAGTCGCCAAACCCACTGGCTCCAGGTCATCTATAAATCACTTCTAGGCAAATCCCCGCAGGTATATCTCACTGGTCATCCCCAAAGCCAACACCTCCTTTGGCCGCCATTCCTTCCAGTTCTCTGCTGCAAATGACTGGAACGAACTGCAAAAATCTCTGAAGCTGGAGACTCTTATCTCCCTCACTAACTTGATGCATCAGTTGTCAGAGCACCTTACCGATCACTGCACCTGTACACAGCCCTTCTGTAATTAGCCCACCCAACTACCTCATCCCCATATTGTTATTTACATTGTAATTTATTTTGCTCATTTGCACCCCAGTATCTCTATTTGCACATCATCTTCTGCACATCTATCACTCCAGTGTTAATACTAAATTGTAATTATTTTGCACTATGGCCTATTTATTGCCTTACCTCCATAACTTACTACATTTGCACACACTGTATATATATTTTCTGCTGTCAAATCAAATCAAATCAATCAAATCACATTTTAATTGCCACATGTGCCGAATACAACAGGCGTAGACATTACCGTGAAATGCTTACTTACAAGCCCTTAACCAACAGTGCATTTATTTCTTAATAAAAAAGTAAAATAAAACAACAACAAAAAAAAAGTGTAGAGAAAAAAAGAGCAGAAGTAAAATAAAATAACAGTAGGGAGGCTATATATACAGGGGGGTACCGG